GAAAATGTATAGGCTGTGATTTGTGTGAGCGGTTGTAATAAACAGGGCCTTGAGTCTGACTCCGTCATCCTGGCAGGAAAACACATTTATTTCCCTCCGTAATCACCACGAGCCGTCGAACTTCAACTGCTCTTCATTTCCTTTTCCTTTAAATGTGAAATTTGTGGAGCCACGTGTTTAGAAACAGCACAGTGTTGTTGTGTGACGGCGTCAGGTGAAGCCGTCAGAAGGAGGCGCTGACACATCCACCACATAAAAAATAATGATGAAAAGATGACGCCGAGGTTGCATTAGACAGGTAAGGATATTTTGAGTACAAAGGTTCTGTCCATCTGTCTACGTCATGTGACCAGAATCACATTTGAATAATTCCATTTAAATCAAGCTCATGAAACCATGACACGTCCTCGGCTGCAGACGACCCTGTCTTCTGTTTCACTCAGAGCTCCAACACCGTGAAAACTAACAACTACATTTGTCAGTCTCTCATCACCGTCTACTCCAAAGGTACCTGTGTTTGTGTGTCCTGGTGTAGATATACTTGTGAGGACCGTTTTTTTAAGAAAAGACTTCATGCAGGTCTTGGTTATTTGAGGAAAACAATTGAGGTTGAAGGTTAGTTTGAAGGTTAGTTTGAAGGTTTTAAGGGTTGGGATTAAATCTGAGGTCAGTCTGTAATCTGTAAGGTTAGAGGCTGGGCCATGCATTAGACTCAGTATGAGTGTGTGAGTGTGTGTGTGAACATGTGAACACATTTGTGTGTTTGTGGAGGAATCAGTTCCTCCTCACGTGTCATGCCGTTACCTCTGCCGTTGACTCAGGACCTTGTCAGCAGGGGGGGCTATTTCACGCCTATCAAAGCCTGAGCAGTGAGTGGGAGAGTGAAGGAGTGAGGACTAACATAAGAGCTGTCACGCAGCGAGGGAGGAGAGATAACAACACAATGATAGGAGAGGAGGGGGAGGAGGAGGAGGAGGAGGTGCACGTTCAGGCAGCCGCGCTGCTGACAGCTTTACAAGTGCAGCTGAGATGGACGGCGTGACGGCGGCGAGGACGCTGATTATGGAGGGAGTGTGTGTGTGGAATATACATAATATACATTTTACAGCTAAGATAAATGTTCACCTACAACCACAACCTTCACCTGCTCATTCACGGTGAAACTGCGCCCCCTACAGGAGTGTTGTTACTCCTACATTAACACATGGGTCCTCGTTCTATGACGTTCTCGACCGACTGTTCCAACATACAGCGCTAAAACTAATTTTGCACCAGAATTACTTCACAAACGCAGTAAACACATTTGTTGTCAGGTGGCGCTCTACGACGTAGACGGCTGTGTTTTCATTGGCCGGTTGGATTGTGCTGCATTTGTTTTATTTGGTGTGTGGCTCCCTAGTGACTGTTCATGAAATACCATGTGTACCATGTTTACCACGTGTACCAGGTGTACTAGGTGTACCAGGTGTACCATGTGTACCATGTATACCATGTGTACCAGGGGTACCATGTGTACCAGGGGTACCATGTGTACCATGTTTACCACGTGTACCAGGTGTACTAGGTGTACCAGGTGTACTAGGTGTACCAGGTGTACCAGGTGTCCCATGTGTACCAGGTGTGCCATGTGTACCAGGTGTACTAGGTGTACCAGGTGTCCCATGTGTACCAGGTGTACCATGTTTACCAGGTATACCATGTGTACCATGTTTACCACGTGTACCAGGTGTACCAGGTGTGACACTTCAGGAATAAAAAAAACCTGTGAACATTAAAAACACTCTGATCTGTGAGAAAAGCCGGAGGAGATCAATTAGGCCACAGAACCTTCTGGAACAAAGTCGATTTGTTCAATATTTCTGTTCATTTGACTCTTTGAAACTGACAGTCATCTGAAAACAGTCTGTACCTGTCTGTAGACCGACCAGTGAGCCGAACACTGATCAATATTTGATTTAACTCCAGGATATTCAAGGATATCACACACACACACACACACACACACACACACACGCAGCTACAGCAGCGTCAGAGAAACGGTGGAACAATCACTGACGGAGGAAACAGTCAGAGTAAAGAATTGATTTCTGTTTCTACTGTTGACTTTATGAAGCTGCTTCATCTCCAGGTTTGGACTGAAAACATCACAAATGAACGAGACAAAAAAAAAAAAGAAAAGACGGGACTGTGTGTGTGTGTGTGTGTGTGTGTGTGTGTCATCACTGAGCTCAGATGACTCAGAGCCTGGAGGAAAAGAAAACACAGCAGATCAGGTTCTTTCTTCTCAGATCCCACATTTCCTTCAGCAGAAACACAGTCCACAGAGGCTCACACACACACACACACACACAGACACACACACACACACACACACACACACACACACAGAACTCAAGGACGGTGGTGATGGAGAATACAGTAAGATTTTAGATTCCACACCAGAATAATGAGAAGATGAAAAACATGCTTAGTTTTTAACAGATGAACCAAAAAGGTAAGAACAACAACAACAACAACAACAACAATAATGATGTTATTACTGTCTAGTACTGCGATATTTACACAAATACTGTGTGTTTATAATTATTAATATGTTCCTGTGAAGAAACGTGAACGTTAACACGTGAACGTTAGCACGTGAACGTTCACCTGTTCTTACTCCACTGTTATTGTTTTCCTGCTCCTGATTTATTATTTCCACAGTTACTCTAATGTATTTATGTTTACACAGCATCTTTGAGATGAGAGCAGAGAGAAAACCTGCTGATCTGCACTTCCTGTCACAGCAGCAGCAGTAACAGCAGCATTAACAGCAGCAGCAGCAGCAGTACCAGCAGCAGTAACAGTAACAGCAGCAGTGACAGTAACAGCAGCAGTAGCAGCAGCAGCAGCAATAACAGCAGCAGTAACAGAAACAGCAGCAGTAACAGAAACAGCAGCAGCAGTAACAGTAACAGCAGCAGCAACAGACGCAGTAACAGCAGCATTAACAGCAGCAGCAGCATCAGCAGCAGTAACAGTAACAGCAGCAGCAATAACAGCAGCAGTAACAGCAG